ACGGACCAAAAAGGAAAGAATGAAGATAATTATGGGACGGAGGGAGTATCACATAGAAACCATGAATGAAAACCAAAAGGAATATATTTGTCTAATGACAACTAAATCTGGCACTAAATGTATTTGTGAAAAAATGCCAGCATATTCCTCAGGACTATATTTCACTCATATTAGTCCATTTGAAATAAATTTGGTTTCTAACGCAAAGTTAGATGATCAGAAAACATTCATGTTGTGGCATGACCGTTTAGGTCACCCAGGCCAAGTAATGATGCATAAAATCATTAAGACTTCACTTGGACACCCATTAAAGAATATCAGGGTTCCATTATCAAGTGATTTTCCTTGTAAGGCCTGTTCTCTTGGCAAAATGATCATCAGGCCTTCTATGAACAAAATTGCAACTGAATCACCTGCATTTTTAGAAAGGATTCAAGGAGATATTTGTGGGCCGATAGCCCCACCATGTGGACCATTTCGATATTTTATGGTGTTGATTGATGTTTCAACACGTTGGTCACATGTTAGTCTTTTATCGACTAGAAATTTAGCATTTGCTAAACTCCTCGCTCAAATTATACGATTAAGAGCTCATTTTCCGGATCATTCTATAAAGAGAATCCGACTTGATAATGCAGGAAAATTTACTTCCCAATCATTTAATGACTATTGTATGTCGATTGGGATTGATGTGGAGCACCCTGTTGCTCATGTCCATACACAAAATGGTCTTGCTGAATCTTTGATTAAACGATTACAATTAATCGCTAGACCATTATTAATGAAGTGTAATTTACCTTCATCAGCTTGGGGACATGCTATTTTGCATGCAGCAAATTTAATTCGGCTTAGACCGACTGCATATCATGAATATTCCCCAATGCAATTAGTTACTGGACAAGAGCCAAACTTAGCACACATAAAAATATTTGGTTGTGTTGTTTATGTTCCGATTGCTCCACCTCATCGTACAAAAATGGGTCCTCAAAGAAGGTTGTGAATTTACGTTGGATTTGAATCTCCCTCAATAATCAAATATCTTGAACCGATGACTGGTGACTTATTCACCGCACGGTTCGCTGACTGTCATTTCAATGAGACAGTATTCGCAACCTTAGGGGGAGAAACTAATAAATCGGACCTAAGTACGAAAGAAATAACATGGAATGCAACAGGATTATCACACCTTGATTCTAGATCAAATATATGTGAGCAAGAGGTGCAAAAGATAATCCATTTACAAAATGTTGCAAATCAGTTGCCTGATGCATTCACAGACACAAAGAAAGTGACAAAGTCACATATTCCTGCTATAAATGCTCCTGCCAGAATCGAAATTCCAGCACAGAATTCTGAAAAATCTATTGCAATTGATTCTTCTATACGCAAAAAGCGTGGCAGGCCACTTGGATCAAAAGATATCAAACCAAGAAAAACTAAAAGGCAGGAATCGATCTGTGATGCCAAAGATGTTCATCCTTCTGAACAAGAACATGAACAATTTGAAAATACTGGCATAGAAAATGATATTGACAAAACAAACATCTCAAATGATGATCCAACTTCCTTAAATGAGGAAGATGTTCCAGATAATAACAGAAACGTTGATAATTATGAAATTTCAATAAACTACGTTTCTACTGGAATGCAATGGAATCGAAAAGATATTGATATTAATGAGATATTTGTCTATGCCGTTGCCACAAATGTTATGAATGAAAACAATGACAATGAGCCAACATCAATTGAAGAATGTCGGAAACGACAAGATTGACCAAAATGGAATGAAGCTATTCAGGCTGAATTAAAATCACTTGAAAAACGTGATGTTTTTGGACCGATAGTCCCTACGCCTTAAGGCATAAAACCTGTGGGTTTTAAATGGGTATTTGTGTGTAAACGCAATGAGAAAAATGAAATTGTTAGATATAAAGCCTGACTTGTCGCCCAAGGTTTTTCTCAAATGCCGGGAATCGATTATGAAGAAACCTATTCTCCAGTAGTTGATGCAACTACATTAAGGTTTCTCATTGGCATGTCTATTTTTGAAAGGCTGCAAATGCGCCTAATGGATGTAGTGACCGCCTATCTATATGGTTCACTTGATACAGACATTTATATGAAAGTTCCCGGTGGATTTAAAATGCCTGAAGCTTATAGCTCGAAACCTCGAGACATGTTTTCCGTTAAATTACAAAAGTCATTGTATGGACTAAAACAATCTGGACGAATGTGGTATAATCGTCTCAGTGAATACCTTCTCAAAGAAGGATATAAGAATGATCCGATTAGTCCATGTGTTTTCATTCGGCGATCAAATTCGGGATTTGCCATAATTGCAGTATATGTTGATGACTTAAACATTATTGGAACTCCCGATGAAATTGAAAATACTGCAAAATATCTTATGAAAGAATTTGAAATGAAAGATCTCGGGAGAACCAAATTTTGTCTCGGGCTTCAAATTGAGCATTTGAAGAATGGAATTTTCATCCACCAATCCAATTGCACCGAGAAAGTGTTGAAGAGATTCTATATGGACAAAGCTCATCCTTTGACTTCACCAATGGTCATTCGATCTCTCAACATACACGATGATCCATTCCGTCCCCGAGAAGACGACGAAGAAATACTTGGTCCCGAAGTACCATATTTGAGTGCTATTGGAGCTTTAATGTATTTAGCTAATAATACTAGACCAGATATTGCATTTTCTGTAAATTTATTAGCTAGGTACAGTTCATGCCAAACAAGACGTCATTGGAATGGGATCAAGCACATATTCCGTTATCTCCGTGGTACAGTTGATCTCGGCCTATTCTACCACAAAGATGCAACAGCTTCTTTAATCGGGTATGCAGACGCCGGATACTTATCAGATCCTCAAAAGGCAAAATCACAAACCGGGTACGTATTTACTTATGGTAATACCGCAATCTCGTGGAGATCTATGAAACAGACATTGACAGCTACATCATCAAATCATTCGGAGTTAATTGCACTATATGAAACCGGAAGAGAATGTGTATGGCTGCGATCTATGATTCAACACATCCAGAATGAATGCGGTATGAAGCCTATTACTGTTTACCCTACTGTGATCTACGAAGACAACACTGCGTGCATAGCTCAAATTAAAGAAGGCTACATCAAAGGAGACACAACGAAGCATATATCTCCAAAATTTTTCTCTACTCACGACCTTGAGAAAGAAGGGACGATCAACATTCAGCAAATCAGATCCAGTGAAAATCCAGCTGATCTCTTCACCAAATCTTTACCCCCGAAGAAGTTCGATGAACTTGTACAGAAAATCGGCATGCGCCGCCTTCAAAATTTATGTTAATTTCAGGGGGAGTATTTGAATGCACTGCACTCTTTTTCCCTTCATCAGGTTTTTATCCCACTGGGTTTTTCCTGATAAGGTTTTTAACGAGACAGTACATCCAAATACAACGACATTATATGTCGTAATCTTTACCCCTTAACGTTCACACTAATTTTTCATAATAACAAAATAACTATTCAAGGATGAACATTCAAGGGGGAGTGTTGTAAAATAATGGGAATTACAGGTGTGAATTATTCATCTTTGTAACCAGGACACTAATCTAGCATCAATCCTTGTAACCAACTTAGAACAGATGGCTCAATTTGTTATTGCCACCAAATCTGTAGAGTCATCCTTTAGATGACTAATCATCAAGCTCAACCACTATAAATAGGAGCTTGGTGAAGCCTTGTAAATTCATTCAGAAATTATCATATATTAAGAATAAATAATTTAGAGCTTTTATTATTATATCTATCTCTTTAATCTGTTCTGCATCTTCTTCATTTCACAACATAAAAGTGAAAAACGGGTGATTTACCATTTTAGTTCTTTCAAATACGGAGTATTGAAAACGTTTCCAAAATCACTACAGTTTTGGTTTGCTTTGCTTCCAGTTATTTACATCCGATTGCATTTACATAGTTAAATGTATTTACTTGATAAACAATTTATGTGCCTTACAGTTGCGCTTGTAGCTCAGTGGATAGAGCATTTGTTTCCTAAACATAAGGTCGTAGGTTCAAACCCTACCTAGCGCGACTTTATCTAGCATGTTCTTGTGAGATGTTCTTGTGAGATTGGTTATAAGCCATCGAAATTTGATACACCTAAGAGGTTATACATCGAAATTTGGTTATACTGTGAAATTTTGAAAACTATCAAATAAGTCATCGAAATTATGCAGCTGAAATTTGATCAAAAAATTCCAGTGGAAACCGCCCCAAATGGTGACGGCCGGACAGAACCTCTTATAAAAATTGCACTTTTTATCTAAGTTCGAGGACTTATTTGGTCGAAATTATGCAGCTGAAATTTGATCAAAAAATTCCAGTGGAAACCGCCCCAAATGGTGACGGCCGGACAGAACCTCTTATAAAAATTGCACTTTTTATCTAAGTTCGAGGACTTATTTGGTAGTTCTCCCATGTGAAATTGGTTAAAGTTACAAATGCTTTTAGTCTAGTAAATTTGATCCACAATTTCAATTGTACTTGATGACAACAATAAATATGTCAATAACTCATTCATCCCAAAATACCAACACAAATGAGTCAAAAGTGATAAAAAAGACTCATCACGCTCTCTAAAATTAAAAGATCCTAAAGACTCATCATCATCACGATCTCAAGCAACGTCTTGAGAAAAAGAAAATCATCATGATTTAAGGCGGATCTGGAGTCAAGAATTCGTTTCCATTTTCATGAACAACTTGGATTAATTAATTTTCTTCCATTCATGTCCCACCCACCTCTCCAACCGCATATTGATCCTTCATCTTCCTATCAGAGGCGGATCATTGTGAGTGAGCTCCAACCCAGCCCAATTTTTTGTTTTGTTTTAATGTCCACCCCACCTCAAAATTGATTCCAGCCCGCCCAAAAATTAATCCCGGCCCACACCTCAAGCAAACTTACAAGGTCGAAGAGGGAGTAGCTGAGCTGCGACGGAGACACCAGACAAGAACACCAGCAAACCTGCGGCCACCAGCTGCGCTGCCGCCCGCCGTCCACGCGTCCAGGACCCTGTGTCGGACGACGCACTCGAAGCCGCTCCGACGGGCACCGCTACTCCTCTTTAACCGTCGACGACCCACCAATTCTGGAGACTTCTCCTGCTCTGCATTAACCAGCGAAAAGGAACAACAATCAGCTCTCACAGTAGGCAATTTGTTATTATTTTCAATTGTTGTATGGTTTTATTCATGGTTGATATGTTTGCTTCTTGACTGTTACTGACTGTGGGTTGATATGTTTGCTTCTTTTCTTCTACTTTTCTGGCTTGTTTCAGAGTTTCTGCTGTTGCTGACATGGTAATTAGATGGCCAAGGATGCTAACACCCACCCAACTCTCACAGATTATTCGTGAACAGAAGAACCCACTAAAAGCCCTTGAAATCTTTAATGAAGTGAAGCACAGATATCCAAAATACAATCATAATGGTCCTGTTTACGAAGCCATGATAAACATTTTAGGAAGCAATGGTCAGCTGACTGAGATGAAACATGTTATTAATCAGATGAAGGATGATTCATGTCAGTGCCATGACTCAGTCTTTGTAAGTGCAATCAAAACCTATGCAAAAGAAAAATTAATCAATGAGGCGGTTTTGCTTTTCAAAAGCCTTCCACAGTTCAACTGCGTTAATTGGACTCGATCTTTTAATACTATGTTGGAAATACTTGTGAAAGAGTCTAAGCTTGATCAGACATATCACATCTTTCTTGAGAATTCAAGCCGATGGGAAGTGAAGTCTCGGACTTTTTCTTTGAATTTACTAATGGATGCCCTCTGTCAAATGAAAAGATCCGATCTTGCCTGTCATATTTTCCAAGAGATGAGCCATCAAACCTGCTGCTGTGCAGACAAGGAAAGTTATAGGATTTTGATGAGCGGGCTGTGTCAAGAAAAGCGGTTTGACGAGGCTATTCATTTATTGTATTCAATGTTCTGGAGGATTTCAGCTAAGGGCAGCGGTGAAGATGTTGTAATATATAGGACACTTTTGGAAGCGCTTTGTGATAATGGGAATTTCGATGAAGCACTTCAGGTTCTTTCAAAGGTATTGCATAAAGGGCTTAAGACTCCTAAGAGACACCGAAGGCAAATTCAATGCCACTATGATTCAGATAGTTGCCATTTGAATGCATTTATTAATGAAGCGTTAATCATGGGCTTAATTCCAAGTCATAAGAGTTTCAGGGAACTGGCAATTGGTTATTATTCCGGAGACAAGATTGATGAAGGTAACAAAGTGTTGAATGAAATGTTTAAGAAAGGGTTTAGACCATCGTTGGAGATATATGAGGCCAAGTTGCTGGCATTGTTTAGACAACATCGGGTTAATGAGGCCATGGAGGTTGTTGACCAGGACATGGTAGGTAGCAACTGTCTTCCTAATGTTAAGTTGTATAATACTCTTATAAAAGGACTCTGTGATGAAAAAAAATCGGATTTAGCCATCAAGTATTTTGAGAAAATTCATACGCAGCTATGCTGTGTTGCCAACAAGGAAACTTATGAGAATTTAGTTGATGGACTATGTCGTGAAGGTAGATACACAGAAGCAAGTCTTGTGCTGGACAGAATGTTGAATAATTCTTATTGGCCTAGAGTTGAAACTTTTAATGCTGTGATCCACGGTCTTTGCTTGGTAGATTGTAATTCACATAAAGCAATCATGTTTTTAGAGGAGATGGTTAGTCAAGCTAAGTTACCAGAAGCTCCTGTTTGGCAGTCACTAGTAGCATCTATTTGTACTGAAACTGCTGGAAACCGATTTCTTTATAGACTATTAGAACGATTGAGGAAGCCTTAACTATGGTCTTACTCTAATATATGTATCTAATCAATCATATCTGATTTTTTTACTATGCATGTGTGTGTCTCGCCTTGAAGAATTATTTAATAAGCTAATATTTTCCAGATGTTATTTTTCAGCTTCATGCAACCTTTGATCTGAAACTTCTTGCCATCTCATCTGTTCTCTTAAAATCCCATTCTCTTGTTATTGATAGTTCTTTCTGTGGAATTCAGTGTCATGTTTTTTTGGTAACTCAAGGCATCTCTTCTCAATTTATTTTGGTCCTTAATTTCATGTCCATAATCTGTTTTTCTTCCTTAATTTAAAACCTTAATTTATTCTTACTTGTTTTAATATCCTTGATTCTTTCTTCTTTGTTGCCTCACCTCACGTCCTCACTGTGTGGTGGTTAAAGTTTATGAGTACATGGTATTCATGTAAATTCAAGTTGCTGCCACAATGAATTCAACTCTTCTTTTACTGACCAATGGCCTCCTTACCTTACTATGAAACTGTCTTAATATGGCAAACACAAAATGAAGTGCACGGCATACATATATTTCCTTTGAGATTTAACTTTATTATTTTTTTCAGCGTGAATTTCTACTTACCTGTGAACTTAGCTTGACTAATAAAAAATGAGCATGCAATATATCTATTGTACGCGAGTATAATAATGAAAAGTAAACAACTAAAATATAGTCGTGTACTATGAAAGTAAGAAAACTGGGAGAACGCTCACCTGTAACATACGTAGTACTAAAATCTACAAGTATATTAGATGCATTGAAACGGTTGCATCCCCCATATATATTACAGAGTAGCAAGTCATAATTATATAAAAAAATTACTTTTAACTTATTTTATTTTATATGAATAAGATAATAACTTAATAAGTAACAATAGGGAAGCTTATATTGTTAGTGCAAACTATGTTTTTTTCAGTAAATTATTTTAGTTCTTTAACTTGTGTAAACCGTTATTTTCAATTACTTCCTGTAATACCACATTTAGAAACAATTGATTAAGCTGAAATAAGAGTGCTTTTTGATCCAATCCAACTACTTGCCTCACAAAATATTGTGGAATTTGATTGATTGAATCTATTCTCTTCTTTCTGTGAGTTATTCATTATCTCTATATTATAGTTCGCCAACTGTTTTGAATGTAAGAGATAGTTTATGACTTCCTTAAGATATTGTTTTACTTATTGTGTTATTCAAATAGAAATGCGCTTTATATTTAGTTTGCTTAGATTATTCAACAAGTTCAGCAATTTCAACCATAAAATAAGAGAATTAAGCTAAGTCACACTCATCATATGAACACTTGCAGGTAGTTTGAACAACTTTGATGGCACAAGGATGTGTAAGAGCAAGGAGAGGAAAAAATACACTTGAAATTCAAATTCAAAGTGACTATGGCTTATATTTGACAATTAAAGAAAGGGTTTAAAATATGCATTAAAAAACAATATCATCGCTACATATATCGGTATGTACACAAAACAATTATCCACAAGTACACTCTAATTTATGTGAAAATTACATATACGTACGCAGTGAACCTATCAACATTCCATAAAAGCGGAGTACAAGGTCAGTTTGCATAAAGATCATTATGTTGTCTTGGAAGTTTTCTTTCTGGCCAAGAACATGAAGATTCGAGGGAAGAAGGACCTTCTCTTTTTCTTTGTTGACTTTGTCACTTCAGAGGATGGCTCATTCTCTACACCACTTTCATGCACAAGAGAATCTTCATGACCACTTTCATTTAATCCTCCTTTTGGGGACCTATGATGAAGAGTAGATGATGTCTCCAATCCTATTCTATCTTCAATGCTAATTCTCGGGCTATTATTATTTCGGTTAATAGATTCACTGGTTTTTCTTCTTTCCTCATGCACTTCCCTCCATTTCCTCAACTCCTGTTCCATAGAAAGCTTAGCGTCCTTGGCTTCCTCGGCTTTGCGCAATGCAGCTTCTAGAACTTTTCGTTTTTCATCAAGCTCGTGATTTACGTCCTCAAGCTTCTTCATGCTCTTGAGTTCTGACTCTTTGGCGACATCAATTTGAGATATAGCAGCAGTGACCCTTGTGTTTGATTCATCTTCTGCTGCATGTGCCTGTTTGCTTAACTCGTAATAGTCTTCTAAGGAAATTTTTACTCCGGTTGGTGAATCCCCTTCATTGTTTTTACGAGCGGATTCACTTTCTTCCAGTACATCCATAGCTGCCAGTGCTAATTTCTCTGAAGCCTTTGCAGCTTCTATCTCTTTATGAACTGAAAGTAATTGGCTCTCGATTGTATTCTGCCCTGCCTTTGCCTGCTCTGCTTCTTCCTTTGCCCTACATAGCATTGCATGTGTTGCTTCAGCAATAGACTTTGCCCGTTCTGCATCTTGAGAAACCACCTGCAACTGCTTTGTACGCTCCACCATCTTTTCTTTTGCTTCTTTCTCTTTTATAAGTGCTAGGGAAATTGCTGATTTTGTTCTATTCAACTCTGCTTCAATAGATGTGGCAGATATGGATGCCATTTCTTCTCGTTGTTGAGCAGTGATGAGTTCTGCTTTTTCTTTTTCTAGTTCTGAATTTAATGATGTGGCGGTCACTTTCAATAAATTCACTTCGGTAGCTACCTTCTCCACTTGAACTTTCACTTCTTCGATCTCCCTTCTAGTTGATTCCACTGCTGCTTGTATTTCACAATGAGTTCTTTTCCCATCGGTTTCCTGCTGTTGAGGTTTTGTTTCCATATAAGCAGCAAGTTCTGCTTTCAAGTCATGTAACAAAGACAAAGAATTGTCTAGCTCCGATTTGAGATCCTTTGCAGAAAGGATCTGTTGGTTTAACCTCTCGAGTTCAACTTCAGCCTTCTTCACTTCTTCCTCCCAGTAAAGAGTGTCTCGCTCTCTGTCCAAGTCCGCTCCAATTCTGTGATCCTCCGCCTCTAGATGTGCAGCATGTGCCGCCTCAAGAGATTGCTTCATTGTTATCAATTCAACTGTCAGGTCCTCAACCAACTTCTCAACTTCTTTCGATTCAGAAATGGCTCCTTCTGCCTTCTTCACCGCCACGTCTCTCTCAGAAACCAAAACTGTGTAGTCCTCACGAAGTTGTTCTAGCTCAGACCTCACAGTTTGGAGTTCATACACTGCAGATGCATGTCGGGCTTTGGCGACCTCGAGTTGGGCTTTGGTTGCTATGCTAGCCTCATCCGCAATTCCTTGCTCCATCTCTTCAACTCTCAGTTTCGCAAGTTCAGAATCTTGTCTAGCTTGTTGTTCTTCTGTTTTCGCTCTCTCTAAGTTAAGCTTCAGTTCTTCTATAAGCCTTCTGGTGCTGTCTAACTCCTTCAGGACTTGGACTTTTGCTTCTTCAGAAGATTCATACTGTTGTTTGAATATTGGAATTTCCTCCTGCAGCTTCTCTAGCTCCTGGTCAATACACTTCCGCCTCTGTATAATCAATAACTCACATAATTTTAGAAAATGATCTGTTTATAATAAGAAAAAATGTTATAGAATCAACATGTACAGATAAATAACTAGATCTTTTGAGAGATCACTATACCTCCACAGTCTGTTCTCGATGAGCCTTCCAGTCAACAATTCCTCCGAATTTAGAAACAGCATGTTTCACAGATTCAATGGGCATTGCGGTGTCAATCTGAACTCTGTTTATCCCACCATTATCGGAGTGCTTAGATGGGAAAGAGGCTGACGGTTTAGCCGTGAAGGTGGAGATTTTGGCTAGTCGTCGACTAGCATCATCATCCGATGCCAGTAAAAGAGTGGAAGCTTTGGTTAATGGTTGATCAATGTCATCTAATGACACTGATTGAATGGGCACTTCTGATATTTGTTGGCTGATGTCATCTGAAGTTAATGATGAATTTGAAACTTTTGCTATAGGCTGATCAATGCTACCTGGTGTCATTAGATGATTTGAAACCTTGTCTAGGGGCTGATCAATGCTACCTGGTGTCACTAGATGATTTGAAACCTTGTCTAGGGGCTGATCACTAGAAACCTTGTCTAGGGAATGATCACCAGAGACCTTGTCTAGGGGATGATTACTGGAAACCTTGTCTTGGGGTTCATCATGGTCATTTAGTGACACTAAATTATTAGAAACATCATCTTGGACATGGCCACCAAAATCAGGTTGCACTAATGGATTCAAACTTTCATCAGATACCCACACTTCAGGGGGGAGAGTGAAATAATCTTCATTAGTGTTGTCTTTGTTAGGAGAAACTATAATGTCTCCAAGTAGGTCTATAGAGGGATTCAGTAATACTGCATCATATTCTTTTGGCTTTTCCTCTTCAAGCATTGACTTCTCTGAATCGGCCAATACTAAAGGTGATGTATCTATAAATGGTTCTAATGTTTCAGCTGGTTTCACATGTGATGGAGATGATGGAGGCATCAAAGTTAAATTTCCTTCTAAAATGGATAATTCACTCTGGTCTTCTCTTGGTTGATATGATATGGAGTTGTCAGCATAAGAAACTTGTGTTCCGGATTCCAAATCTGGTTTGATATTTTTTTTTGTTTCAAATAAACTCTTTATTTCATATTCATCCTTTGGCAACGAGACTTCAGTAACATGTAATGACTCAGAAGGATTGTTTCCTTTTGTATTGTCTGCTTCCTCCATCCTTGTAAAATGTTGAGTTGACCAAAGTTAAGGAAAGTACCTGATTTCAAAGTAAAACCAGAGAGTTTTGAAAAGCAATTTAAAGTATAAATAGGTTGTTATTGAAAAAAATTAATAAGCAAATTAGTGACAACTATTATGAATCATTGTGTTGCTTTCTCCATCTAGGGAAGGGTGGATATTATCACATAGATACATATGGAGTCCAATCAGGGGCAGAGCTAGTGGAGGGCCAGCCCTGACACAACTCAAATTTTAAAAATGTCTAAATTTTAAGTGTAAAATATTTCATGTAATTGTTTTTCATATTCTTTGTATCGGTCCAGTCTAGCCATCCTGGCTCCGCCTCTAAGTCCAATGTAAGAAGAAACTAATCAAGTTGATAGATTATGAAATGAGATTGACGTATAACGAAAAATAACAGAACAATTAAGTTGATTTCTGTACTCTAAATCAATGCATCAAATATTGCATGGCAATAACCTTAAAAATCTGCATTTTTGTAGGCATTTGGAGTGTTTCTCTAAAACTATAATTGACCCTCCTTGCTTCTTTCGTTTCAATATGCAGGCATTTTTTTTCATCTCTTTCTCTTTTGATTTGAATTAATATATCCATTAAATAGAACAATCACAAATTCACAATAAACTACAAATTTGTAATTCCAATATATAAATAAATTCCCAGATAAAATTAACATATAAATGATCAAATAGGCAAACATTAAAAGCCCCAAATAAGGCTAATTATTTTCAAATCATAAGAGAAGGGTATATAATATCATACCAAAAATTAAAGAAATAAAATGCAGAAGTCACAAAGAAGCTTGAGAAAATTTGGATCTCCTCGTGTTTCTCTACAGCCAACTCCATATGTTTCTTCCGGAACTGAGTCAAAATTAGCTCTTAACCGGGGAAAGAGATGGCTAAATGCAAAGTTGAGAGGAGGATTATTAAACCAAACCAAAAGAATAATTATTTCGGTTTCTGCTAGAAATTCCTTGTTTCTTTTTGTTTTTTTGTTCCCCCATGAAGAAAGAGGATGTGTGGCTTACAAAGCATGAGCCTCTGCTTTTCCGACCACAAAGAAATATGCGACTCATAATACTCTGTTCCTAGGGTCCATTTGAAAGTGCAAAGATAAAGTACACATTTGTATTACTGTTGTATATGAAATCGATCGATGAAAAAGTCCTATAGGAGACTCTGTCCGGTTATCGCGATTTGGAGCGGTTTCCGGTGCAATTTTTTATGAAAATTTTAGAACATCTTATTAATCAAGTCTAGTTTACTCATACCAAATTTTAGCTAAAAATTTAATTGGGAAAGCATTCAAATTAATTCGAGAACGCAAAAATGCGCAGTTATCTTCAAGAATTAATTTGAATGTGTTCCCGATTGAATTGTTAGCTGAAATTTGGTATGAGTAAACTAGACTTGGTGAATAAGATGCTAAAAAAAATTATAAAAAAACTCCACCGGGAAGTGCCCCAAATCGTGACGGCCGGACAGAACCTCCTATAGAAGGAATTAATTGACCTTTTTATGAAAGTTCGAGGACCTATTTGATAGTTTTTCCATCACTTAATTCATATGCTAAAAAAAAGGGTAACGACTTGTAATGCTCAATTTTTCCCTTAAACTAAAAAGAATTTCAAATGACATTCTGAACTCGATAAAAATATTCAAATTTCACTTTTTGCAAGTCATGATCCGGTCATTGCCACGTCATCCGGTAAGGTACAAACTTTGCATCTCACACAGCAATTTAAGGTAGGGTGGGATCGGGATGATCCCGATTGCTCAAATCCCGATCCCGTCCCGATTAAGTCGGGATCCCGACATTAAAATCCCGATTAAGTCGGGATCCCGCTTAATCCCGACAATGAAGTATCAAACATAAAATTATGTAATTTCTTTAGTTAAACACTAACTTTGATATTTAATGGTTTCAAGATTATTCTTTGTTCATTGTTATACCATATTTATCATCATCTACTTATAAAATTTATTGTAATAATTATCATCACAAATTCATACTAGTACATACTTTTAGAATAATTTTTATTTGAAACTTCAATTAATTAATAGTATAGTTTTTTAATAAGCTATCAAGGCTTAGTGAAACTTACTTCAAACATTATATAAAAATCACTAAAAGAAGGATGTGTAACGTATATTATTTAAAATTCAAAACTAAGTAGACTCATTCAGAAACTTTGTGACCAATGATTATAATGTATAAATACATATTATTATTATTATTTACTAAAGAAAAAAAATCTTAGTCTCGATCATGATTTTTAAAAGGTGCATCAGAACTGCAAAATTTGTAATATTGTTGTGATTTAGATTGTTGGGATCAAGAATAATCTCTATTTAGTTAGGATTCCGAATATTCATTTTGGAACAAATGCCAAATAGTTTTAGAAGTTTGATATTGTAAGATACTCGTAGTAAAAGATTAATCTATGTAAGGAATAAGTAATTAATAAAGATATGAAATTATTTAGATACATATTCATTTTTATAAATGTATATTCATTTTTTTATATTCATATATAATTCTATACATGTATACTCCCTCCGTCCCGCTATTAACTTCCTGCTTTCCTTTTTGGGCCGTCCCAAAATCATCGTCTCATTTCCCTAAATGGAAAGTTATTCTAAATCAAAACAGTGTCAAACATTGCAAAACAGTGCCAAACAGTGTCTAAACAGTACTAAACAGTGTCTAAGCAATGCCAAACAGTGTCTAAACAGTACAATCAAATTTATTTCCTAAATATGTGTGTAGGTCAAAGTAGAAAGTTAATAGCGGAACGGAGGGAGTATTATATATATATATATATATATATATATATATATATATATAGACAAATATTCCTGTCCGGACGTCTGGACAGGGAACCGCCGTCCGGACCGCGGCGTTTGGCCGCCTTCCCGGTGGAATTTTTTGATGAAATTTTTATGGCATGTTCTCCATCAAGTCTAGTTTATCCAAAAAAAAAATCAGCTAAAAACTCAATCGGGAAGATCGTCAAATGATTTTTGCAAGTTAACTGGTCCGGAATATGTATTTTCCGGACCAGTTAACTTGCAAAAATCATTTGACGACCTTCCCGATTGAGTTTGTGGCTGAATTTTTTTGTGGATAAATTAGACTTGATGGAGAACATGCCATAAATATTTCATCAAAAAAAGCCACCGGGAAGGCGGCCAAACGCCGCGGTCCGGACGGCGGTTCCGGTCAGGAGCTCCTGACCGGATCATTACTCTCTCTCTCTCTCTCTCTCTCTCTCTCTCTCTCTCTCTCTCTCTCTATATATATATATATATATATATAATGTCGGGATGCCGGGATTTTCCCGATCCCGACTTTTAAAAAAAAAATCCCGGTCCCGTCCCGACTTAGTCGGGATCGAGAAAAATTCCCAACTAGTCGGGATCGGAATTGTCGGGATCGGGAGTTTTTTCCCAACCCTAACTAACACCTCCAAACATTTAATCCAAACAGGCCGTAAACGTACCATGACATAAACGAAATACGGTTGATACTTGATATAAGGAGACCGCCATGGTAATTTCCACTAAAGATTTCTTATCAAGTCCATGCAAATAATAAGAATCAGTAAATCTAATGAGGTATAATGTATTAATGTACCTTATACTTTAGAAATTAATACTCATAACTCATAACTCATAAGCTCTTGTAGAAATTAACAACTCATAACTCACAAGTATGGATGGACCGGTTCCGGTTCGGGCCCGACCGGGCCTCGGTTCAGAAATGGGAGGCCCGGAACCGGCCCGGGTAATCCCGGGTCCGGGCCGGGCCAGGCCTCGGTTCTATTTTTTTTTGGCTTTTCCTAATTAACCCCCAACCCTCCCCCCTCACCTCCAAACCACCCCAAACCATCTCAAATGGCCCAAAATACCAAGCCCAACCCAAAAACTTAAAAAAAATTCAAAAAAAAAAAATTAATTTGGCCCAGACCGGGCCCGAACCGGCCAGGCCGGTTCGCCAATCAAAGGACCCGGGCCCGAACCGCACAGTAACCGGGCCGGGCCGACCCGAACCGCCCCCGAGTCCGATTCCCGGGCCGGGCCGGGCCGGTTCAAACAGTAACCGGGCCAGGCCGGGCCGCCCGGCCCGAGTCCATCCCTACTCACAAGTTCTTGATACTTGATAGGGAGGAGTTGATTTCACGCCAGTCCACTAGACCGGGCCAACTTTATGTCTACGTATAGGATAAGAATATGAAAGCCCACTCAATTCAATGTAATGAACTGGCCCTAAATAGGGGTTTTTATCCAAATGCAATAGTCAGGTACTGATAGAGACTCGACTATTAATACTAATAATAGATTTGGCCAAGTTTATTCTAGAAGGAAGCAGTAGCTAGTTATTATTAGTGTTGTCCGTTATTAATAATAACTACCTTCAGTTGAGACTGAAAGGATATAAATAGAATAAACTTAGGCGGGAGGGGCAGGCTGTTTGATGCTTTGGCATTGGGACTGGGAAGATTAGAGAATAGTTCTCTTCTCTTTGGGACTGGACTGTACAGTGTACCTCCATTAATGAAACTTTACTGTTTTTTGAAGCTAGCTTTACTGTTCATTCCTCTTGTATTACTGCGTTACTCTATCAGTGGTATCAGAGCACGTGTGATCGCTGGATGACCTTAACGCGTGCAAAAATCGAAGGAAGAATAACAGAGATGGAACGGAATCAAAGGGAGATGCAATTGAGCATGGAGATGAATCAAAGGGAGTACCAAGCTAATACTGAGAGGAATCAGCGTGAAATGCACGCAATGATGTCTGCGATGCAAGCTAGCATCGCCGATATTCAGAGGAGAATGTCAGATCGATCGCGAAGCCAATCGCATCACTCTAGTACATCGCATCGCTCTTCTCACCGCAGGCATGCGAAGCGTACGGGAAGTACTGAAGACTCAGGTACTAATTCCGATCGTGATGACACTCATGACAATTGCGATCGTCATAGAAATCACAGATGTCGCCCTACTGCGGTGAAGATGCGTTTGGATGGTTAGTAAGGATGAACCGCTATTTCAGATTGAATCATACGGAGGAAGAGGATAAAATTGACGTAGCAGTGATAGCAATGGAGGACCAGGCCTTGAGCTGGTTTCAATGGTGGGAGGGACAAGCTCAACACATGAATTGGGAGTCGTTTACCAGAGATTTGACTAAACGATTCCAACCTGAGTTAGTGCAAGATCCGTTGGGACCACTATTCAGTTTAAAGCAAAAAGGGACCATAAAAGAGTATAGAGATAAATTTGAGGTTGCTATTGCTTCACAGAGCCATTTGACTGAAGAGGTTTTGAAAGGAGTGTTTTTAAAAGGTCTCAAACGTGACATCAAGGCTGAATTGAAACTCTACTCTGCAAGGACTTTGGCTGAGGTCATGGATAAAGCTTCACTTATTGAGAATAAGAATAATGAAGCCATAATTGTGAGAAACAAATATGAAGAGAAGAAGAAGGGGCAAGGGAAATACAGTAACCAGAGCACACAGCCAAATTGGAGTGATGGAAATAGATGGAAAAGCATGCCTAACCAATCTGCAGGTATGGTAAGAAGTACAATTGATCAGAAAATTCATAAGGAAGTGAAAGCACCAGATCCGAATAGAAATGGCCCTAGATTATCCAGAACTGAATTGCAAGAAAGAAGTAGGAAGGGATTATGTTTTAAATGCGGCGAAGACTGGAATAAGGGGCATGTTTGTAAGATGAGGAATTACAAAATGATACTTGTAGAGCAGTCTGAGGGAGAGAATGAATCTGAAGTTGAGGTTATGGATTATGAAGAGGAAGAAGGGGATTCTCAGCAACTTAAAACTATGCAATTATCTGTTTTAAGTAAGGCTGGCATTCCTTCAATGAGAACTTTCAAGGTGAAAGGTAACCTGAAATGGATAGATGGAGAGAAACGGGTGAATATCTTACTTGACTGTGGTGCTACCCACAATTTCATATCCAGGGATTTAGTTGATGCTTGGAAGATTCCTTTTGTACCTATACAAGGGTTTAAGGTTCAGATTGGGAATGGTGATCTGATTCCTAATGGAGGCAGATGTGATGGACTGAAATTGGAAGTGCAGGGAGCTGAAATACAACAATCTTACTACATTTTGGAACTTGGAGGCACAGATGTGGTCTTGGGGATGGAGTGGTTGACTGAGTTGGGCAATGTGGAAGTTAATTTCCAGAAACAAGTATTGAATTGGAAGCAACAAGGGAGAAACTGCACTATTAAAGGAGAAACAGCCTTGAATAATTTGGAGATTCCATTGAAAACTTTGCTACATATTTTACATGACAATGGGGATGGGTACCTACTTTGTTATGAAGGACAGATAAATGAAGTGGGGCAGAATAAGAAGGACTTGGAGGAGTGGGAAGGTTTAATTACAGAATTTCCTGAGGTTTTCACAAACCAGTTGAAGTTTCCACCTGCCAGGAACTGTGATCATGCCATAAACATACAGGAAGGAGCCAGCATACCCAATCTGAGGCCTTACAGGTATACCTTTGATCAGAAAAATGAAATAGAGAAAATAATTGGTGAAATGTTATCTTCTGGAATCATTAAACACAGTAACAGTCCCTATAGCAGTCCTATTTTACTGGCTAGAAAGAAAGATGGTGGGTGGAGATTTTGTGGTGATTACAGGGCCTTAAATAAGATCACAGTACCTGACAAATTTCCCATACCTGTCATAGAAGAACTCCTTGATGAATTAGGTGGTGCAAGGATCTTCTCTAAACTGGACCTTAAATCTGGTTATCACCAGATTAGGATGAAGGAAGAGGACACCCATAAGACTGCTTTCAGAACACATGAAGGTCATTACGAATACCTAGTCATGCCATTTGGGTTGACTAATGCACCTTCAACCTTCCAGTCCCTTATGAATGATGTTTTGAGACCTTTCCTCAGGAAATATGCGTTAGTGTTCTTTGATGATATCCTAGTATGTAGTAAAACTAGAGAAGAGCATAAAGAACACTTGAGGTTGGTTTTGGAGCCATTAAGGAAGAATGATTTGGTGGCAAATCAGAAGAAATGTTTCTTGGGTCAAGAACAATTGAATTACCTTGGCCATATCATATCAGCAGAAGGGGTGGCAGCTGACCCTAGTAAAACTGAGGCCATGAAGGAATGGGCAATCCCTAAGGACCTGAAAGAATTGAGGGGGTTTTTGGGTCTTACTGGATATTACAGGAGATTTGTTAGAGGGTACAGTCACATTGCAGCACCCTTAAATCAGCTTCTAAAGAAAGATGGGTTTAAATGGAATGAGGAGGCTCACAGAGCTTTTGAAGAATTAAAGAAGATTATGTCTACTTTACCAGTCTTAAGAGTCCCAGATTTCAGTAAAATTTTTATTGTGGAAACTGATGCTTCAGGAAGAGGATTAGGGGCAGTTCTAATGCAAGATGGGGGTCCAATTGCTTTTATGAGCAAGGAACTATCACCTAAACATTTAAGCAAGTCAGTTTATGAGAAGGAATTGATGGCCATTGTGTTTGCCATACAAAAATGGAGACCATATTTGTTGGGGAGGAAGTTTGAAGTTCATACTGATCAAAGGAGCCTTAAATATTTGACTGAACAGACTATCATGGGGGAGGATCAACAAAAATGGATTTCTAAACTCATGGGCTACAATTTCACTATTAAATATAAGCCTGGCTGTGAGAATAAAGCTGCAGATGCATTGTCAAGGAAGGCCAGTTTCTCAGCATTGTCTATAGTGAACTGTCAAGAGTGGGATGGATTAGAAGAAGAATTGTTGACAGACCCCAAGTGTTTTGACACTATTCAGAGAGTCATCAGTCATCCGGATCACATGGCTGAGTTCAAATTGAAAAATGGGTTGTTGTACTACAAAGGAAGGTTGATGATTCCTCAGAATTCTCCCAGGATAAATAGAATCCTTAAAGAGTATCATGATTCAGCAACTGGTGGACACTCAGGGAATTTCAGAACCATGAAAAGGATATCTACACTATTTTACTGGGTAGGAATGAGGAAAGATATTCAACAGTATGTGCAAAAATGTGAAGTTTGTCAGAGGAATAAGTATCAGGCTTTGAAGCCTGCAGGTTTACTGCAGCCTTTACCCATTCCAGAGCAGATATGGACTGACATTAGCATGGATTTCATTGGAGGACTACCCAAAGCTCAAGGAAAGGACACTGTGTTGGTGGTGGTGGATAGGTTGACAAAATTTGCACACTTCATACCTCTATCCCATCCTTACAATGCAAAAGGAGTGGCTGAAGTGTTTATCAAGGAAGTGGTGAGACTTCATGGATTCCCAAAATCTATAGTGAGTGACAGAGACAGCATCTTCCTAAGTTCTTTTTGGTCAGAATTATTCAGGTTGGCTGGGACGCAACTTAAATATAGCACAGCTTATCATCCTCAGTCTGATGGGCAAACTGAAGTTGTCAACAGGTGCTTAGAGACCTATCTGAGATGTCTCACTGGAAAGAAACCAAGAGAATGGATTAAATGGCTACCATGGGCTGAATATTGGTATAATACCAATTATCATATATCTTTAAAACAGACTCCCTATCATGCTTTATATGGGCAAGAGCCCCTTGCAGTGGTAAAAGGGGATGTGACTCTGACTGCTAATGATGAGGTGGCAAGACTAACTGCAGAGAGGAATGGCATGTTAGCTGAAATAAAGGAACATCTGGCCATTGCTCAAAACAAGATGAAACAGCAAGCTGACAAACACAGAAGAGAAATGAAGGTGGAAGTGGGTGACAGGGTATTTCTGAAGATTCAGCCCTATAAACTGCAAAGTTTGGCAAAGAGGACCAATCAGAAACTGAGTCCTAGATTTTATGGACCCTTTGAAGTTGTTGAGAAGATAAATGATGTAGCTTTTAAGCTAAAATTACCATATCAGTGTTTGGTGCATCCTGTTTTCCATATCTCTTTACTCAAGAAAGCTTTAAGCTCCAATACTTCTTGCCAGCCTCTACCCCAGTGTTTAAATGAGAATTGGGAATTACAGGTGATTCCTGAAAAAGTGGTTGATATAAGGAAGGGCCAGGGGGTGATACAGAAGTACTAATTCAGTGGAAAGATCTTCCTGACTTTGAAAATTCTTGGGAGAATGTACAGGTGATGAAGACACAATTCCCAGACTTTAAGCTTGAGGACAAGCTTATTCTTCAGCCGGGGAGTATTGATAGAGACTCGACTATTAATACTAATAATAGATTTGGCCAAGTTTATTCTAGAAGGAAGCAGTAGCTAGTTATTATTAGTGTTGTCCGTTATTAATAATAACTACCTTCAGTTGAGACTGAAAGGATATAAATAGAATAAACTTAGGCGGGAGGGGCAAGTTGTTTGATGCTTTGGCATTGGGACTGGGAAGATTAGAGAATAGTTCTCTTCTCTTTGGGACTGGACTGTACGGTGTACCTCCATTAATGAAACTTTACTGTTTTCTGAAGCTAGCTTTACTGTTCATTCCTCTTGTATTACTGCGTTACTCTATCAGGTACTCAGGCGACGGGAAACCACACTTAGGACCTGTTTACTTGTGACTTAATGAGCTTAATGGAAATATGGACTTATTCGCTCAGTCATATAGTGGTGTTTACTTGTGACTTAATGAAAACCATGACTTGCTCGCTCAGACATTTTAGGACTTATTGATTCAGCACAATTTTAATACTCCTTAGCATTCAGACCTAACTTTACATCAGACTTCTCTTTTATAACCTTGCCTAGATTTATCGCTGCGGCACATCTCACCTGCAAGCTTCAGCCATCTGCGAGTTTCACCCATCTGCAGCATATCCAAGATTGAACGAAAGCCTTTGCCTTGTCTCGATATTGTACTGATTCTCTTCATTGTCTTTGTAAATTTGAAGCAAAATCTGAAAATCTTGTTCTTCTGAGAACTCTGTTTAATTCCATATCTAGGTGTCAATTATTTTGTAATTTTTGCATTCGCATTACGAATCCATTTGAATTTGATACGGTAAAATAGGACTTACGAATCTGGATGTTGGAACATAGTAAGCTTCTGGTAAAATAGGGCTGTAAAGTAATTGGATAGTGCTCTCGTCTTTGTAAAATGGGGCCGGACATGCTCTCTGCTTTGTGGAACTGGAATTTGGATAGTGTTTAAGATTTTGAAATTGAAATTACTTGGAAAAAGCTAAATTGTTTAAGGTGTTGATTTTTTTTTGGAGAATTTAAGGTGTTGATTGAGGAAAGGGGAGCAACTGCTAGTTTTAGGCTTTTAGCTTTTCCCAGATCGTAAATACAAAATCAGTAAAAAGATAATATAGATTCAGCACTTCTTACATGCACAAGGATAAATTGGTAAAATGACATAATTCAGACTATACACATTCAGTACACATAGTAAACAGCTTGTTATACTAGTGTCACTTATTCCAAACACACGTCTTAATACTGACAGACGTCTTAATCCAGACAGGACTTAATAGAAAAAAAAGTAAACAGGACCTTACTCGTAAAAATTGAGTGTGTGTGAAGAAAGAGAAATAGCACCAAAAGTTTCAATCTAAATATAAATAAAGGCAGTATCAAGTCTCATCTGTTTAACAAAATCTCCAAAACTTGAAACATCAAAACTAGGTAACAAACCAAGAAGTCCAAAAAAGAAAGGGTACATTAATGCAACGTGGCTTAAGCAGTAGCAACAGATGGCTTAGAAGTAATAGAGAGTTTGGACCTCTTCTTGGCCACACTCTGACTGCGCCTCTCCCTTTGCTCCTTCAGCCTATTGGCAAGCAACTTCTGGTATTCCTGAGCCTCTGTCTTAGCCTTGGCAATCCTTTGCTTCTTTTGAGCAATTCTGGCCCTCTTCCTCTGGAGGGTCAACGGAGTGACCAGCCTCTGTATTTTAGGAGCTTTGCTAACCTCCTTCCCTGTCACCATTACACAGTCAAACTCAGTTAGCCATACAAAACCTTTTGACCACTTGCTGCTTCAGTCTAAGTTTTATTAATAGAAGGCTTAAGCACCAAGGCTTTTCAAACCATCCCAAGCAAACTCATGGGAACGCCAAATTTTAGGATCTAGAATCCAGTATCCAGAGTGAATTAATATCAAATAAAAGCTGAAAATACAAATAATAATGATATGAAGTATTACCCTTTTTATTAGTAAATGTCCTGCGGTACGTGTTGACATACTTCCTGACATCATCTTCCTTGGACAGGTTGAAGAGCTTCCTAATCTTTGATGCTCTTTTAGGACCCCTCATCCTTGGCTTCTCAACATCAGTCAATCCAGGAAGGTCATTTTCACCCTTCTTCACAATGACCAAATTCAGAACTGAGAGGTAAGGACTGACAATGCACCCACGTACTGATTTTCTTCTCCTCTCACCATCACGCCTTCCATAACCCCGGAAACAAGGAGTACCTACTCATTCTTAACAATGTTAACTGCAAATACAGATTATCAATAAGTAAGGCTTCACAATTAGACATGATTTGTGGGAATACCTCTAGGCAATAAAAGGCGAACACGGTTTGGAGTCAAGACTCCTTGCTTCATGGGAAATCCTTGTTTGTCACATCCACCCATGATCTTGAATACATATCCCTTAAACTCCTGCCAATATTAAGGAAAAATTCATTTAAGAATAGTTTCTTTAGTCAACAAACGGAATAAGAGATTGTTGCAATGTGGCAATACCTCTCCCAAAGCATCACCACTGACTTCTTGAGAGATTCTCTTGTCATAAAAGGCACGACTGCATTATTGAGATATTTAAACTTTTATAAGTTAATGATTCAATGAAATGGCATTTGGCATTAGGCCATTAGCTGCACTGCACCAATTCTCCAAGTGGAATATAGAAAAACTACTGATTGTACATAATAGAATCTTTGTATATACAAAAGCTGGACCTTGTGGCTAAAACTGTTCCCACCAAAGAATTACAAATTACACGTGACACAAGCAGATTAGATATAAAAGTAATGCCTGCCATTAAAAAACCTACGTTGTACATCACAGAAAAAGAAAATTGTGCCACACTCTAAGATAACATCTGAAAAGTCCTATGAATTGTACACATGGCAATAAGATGTATCTAGATTTCTGGCAGTTTCTTTTAAGCGATTTCCATTCAGCACACTGAATGGACTGCTTTGGACAGTTTCATTCACCAGTACATGCATGACATTATAAATACCTTTTTATACACCAGTACATGCATGACATTATAAATACCTTTTTATAGCTTCAATTTGACATTATAGTTGTATGAACTCTGTTGCAGTGCTATACACTAATTATTTAGGCATCTATATATGTACGGATTTCCAAAAATACAGGATCCCTAATTCTTTCATTATAACCAAACAAACTATGTAAGATACACAGCTACTAATAATGGTAAAACAGATAATTTACATACATGTATTAGGCATCTATATATGTATGGATTTCAAAAAATACAGGATCCCTAATTTGCAACACATTATTTTTTCAATTTCCTGGAAAGCATACGTATTTCTAATTAATGAGTTATAAACTTATAATAACAATGTAATGAAGCACAACAAACTCCAAGAAGAATGTGGCGATGAGTGATAACAAACTATACATGTCATTATGGAAACGAGTGAGAGATGTGCACATTAATCAATGGCTTAATTCCAGAATACAGAACCACGACATGTAAAGGTATTGAATATAAATCAGCAAAAGATATGTTTCATGTTGAAAATCTATCCATCCGAAAATCATTAAGCCGGCCGGCGGCCATTCCAATATTACAGATTATTATTTTATAAATTATAAATAATTTGAATGAAACTAATATAAGTTCATATACTTTTCCAAGAAATAGGGCATACAGTTTACTGAAATAGGGCATACAGTTTACTGAAATAGGGCACACAGTTTACTGATAAAATAACGTGATGCACACTATATGATGATGAAACGTGTATCGCATGCCAATAAGCAATCGAAATTTACTGAAATGAGTCTAGACATACAGTTTCTGTTCATCATCAATCTCTAGCTTCTTCTGGCAACCCGTAGTCGGGTTTGCAATGTTGAACTACATAACAGCAACAAGAAACAGGGTGAGAATAGATTCGATAGCGAACAATAGAAATCAACAGTGACATACCTTCATCTTCGCTCCCTGGAAAAGAGAAGTGTCTGCGCTCACTCCAAGCTTAGGGTTTTGTTATTAGTACGAAGGAGTATAGGATAGTATTTAATGGACCAAAGTAGGGTTATGCAGTTAGTCATGCGTATGCGTTTGGCCCACGTTTAAAATGGGCCGACTGATAGGGAAATTCTAAAGTGGTAATTACCCATATAGTCCACTTTAAGATCCCACATACTTCGTAGAAATTTTGGTTCAAAGATTGAACCAGTATGTAGTTGGTTCTTTTCCGATTTGGACTGCTGGTCTAATTTGATTCAATTTTGTCAACCCTATTTGTAGCATGCATATATTTCGCGATGAATAACAATTATTTTCTTTTTTCACTTTTATACTTTTCTTTTTTTTAATAATGTTTTTTTATTTCACTTTTAGATTGGTTTTACTGACCGCCACCACAGTCCACAATATTTCGAGGAATATATGAGAGACAGACGGTACTTTCTCGTTGCCCTGAAATAATCTAGAAGAGTCGACGGAGGCAATGATATCGGCATTACTGGCATGTGATCGACAATGGAGTTGAGTTTGGATTCTTCCTTGCTCTAGTGTAGTCAGGTAGCCAAGAGATTGATCTGATGGTCTCAAACCGTGAACAAATAGCGGATGCCTCCATATGTTTCTATTGCAGATCGGAGAGTGGATCTTCCTTCCTCTAGCGTCCAGGCGAGAGCTTTTTCGGTGAAGAATAGAATTCACCTTCTTCGCATTAGTCATCACTTGAAAAGTCAGATCTAATTGTTAAGATTTTTTCGTGAGAATTTGACTTTGCACGCCACTTTTTGAGTGATATTTGACTTTGCGCCCCATTTTAAAAGGTCTTTGATTTTGCACCTCATTCCACTTAAAATTCTTTTGACTTTGCACTCCATTTATAATTTTTTCTTCACAAAATGGTATGTGTTGGGGTGCAAATTCAAAGTTTTTTTAAAATGTAGTGCAAAGTCCAGTATCACTCAAAAAGTGAGGTGCAAAGTCAAGTTCCCCGATTTTTTCACCGAATTGAAAAGTCTCAAGTCTGGGATTGGGTTAGGATACAACCTCTCATACGCTAATCCCTTGTTGACGTTTCTTATCCATATCATTCATTGAACATTTTTTGTTTAATTTATTACGAAGTTTCTACATATTTATCCAAGGCTGCAAGTCAGTTGTTGTAGGTATGAATGCAGTAGACCTCAGACGTGGAATCATCATGTCTGTTGATATTGTTGTAACAAACCTGAAGAGCAGAGCAAGAATGATTAACACATTTGAGGAAATTGCCCAGGTATATGATCAATGCTGACTGTTGTGCTTTTAAAGTTGCATAATTAAGCATTCGTTTGAAACATATTGACATATAGTTGCACTCCCTTAGTGATTGTCTATTTGAATTTCTCTGTACACAATCATACTTCATATTTCCTTTCCCTCGATTGTCTTTATTCTCATTTTATTTACATGTCTAAGAATTTAGCAATGATATTAGTCACTCCATCTCTTATGTTTATAGGTTGGCAGAGCCGGAGCGACTGGGGGTCAGGGTGGTCAGCCGACCCCGCTGAAAATTTAAGATTGTAGAGCTCTGAAATATCTTTGATTTGATATATTATGGCTCTCGTAACTCATTACGAGCAAAAAGTTATGACTTCTGCAAAATCAGCACTATTTAAGTTTGAAATTAGTAAAATTGTGATGCGTAATATTAATTATATTCACAAAATAGCGTTTAATTCACTCGTTACTTATGTGACATGACTTAGGGACAGAGCAAAGACAACATATTTTACTGCTACGAGTGCCTACTCAATAAATGATTCTTTTCTAATAAGAAATCTTGATATTAAACCGAGTAAGATAGAAGAGAACCATAAAGTACTAGAGTAAGACAATGGGTCTCATCCGAGGTACTCAACTCAACCCGTATAAAACAAGTTTATAATATATGTGACATATACGAAGTATATTAACTACATATACTCTATTAGTTTCATTTAAACTATCATTTATCTAAGCTACATTCAATTCGGGTATTGTCTAAAAATAATCTACCGTTTTGATTCTATGTAAATTTGATTTCGACCCCGCTGAGTCATTTTTCTGGCTCCGCCCCTGTAGGTTGGGACAATCTTAGCAAAAGAAAAGCCAGAAATTGGTGAGTTGATTGCAAAATCTATGAAAAAGGTTGGCAAGAAAGGTGTCACCACATTTCAAGTAAGAGTAGGGGGTGTTTATTTTATTGTATCATCATTCTGTTCAAAAACAAAAACTCACTCTTAGCACTTTTTTTTAAATGAATCCCCACAAGTATATAATTATTATGCTACGTACTATACAAATTTTATCAGAAACAACTTGTAGTTCATATTAGTTTGAATGTCAAATATTTTGTACTCCCTCCGTCCCAAAATTGTTGGTCAATGTTGACTTGCACGCGGATTAATAAACTAAAAACTGTGTGGTTGAAATTTGTGCAGAGGAGAGAGAATTAACTTTAGCCGCATATTCCTTACTTTAAATGGAAATTACCAACCTTTTTAGGACGGCCAAAAAAGGAAATTTGGTCAACCATTTTGGAACGGAGGAAGTATGTGTTTTGTACTTCATGGTTCAATTTTGGAGTTGGGATTCAACTAACTGTGTTGTTGTCTGTGATGCTGGTTCTGGAATAAACATATAGAGTAATATAGAGTACAATAATAGCATAACATGAAATCATAATATGTGGTTAAAACACCATGATCTTGCTAACATTCTAGCGCAGCATTGGAACATGATTTATGTTGGCTCAGCCCAATACCTCCTGGTAAAGAAACTAAAGGGACTGAAAAGGCCTTTAAAACTGCTTAATGTTATGGAGTTTGGGCACATTTCCAACAAGGCCAAGAGGGCAAAAGATGACTTTAAAGAGGCTCACAGATTGTTGCTGCTTGACCCGATGAATGAGGAGCTCAAAGCTAGAGTGGGAGAAACTAGTAGGAAGGCCATTTTCCTCTGTGAAGCCGAGACTAGTTTTTACCAACAAAGGGCCAAGGCGACTCACATCCTTGAAGCGGACAAAGGAACGAAATATTTCCACGCTATTGTCAAACGAAACTTGGCAAGGAATGCAATCACCTCCCTTACTTTGGAGGATGGTAACATTACTACCTCTTTAGACCAAGTTGGGAGTGAGTTTGTTAATTTTTTTACGGAATTATTTGGAACCCATTTTGAGTGCCACCCGTTGGACCCGGATGTTTTAGGGTTTGGCACAAAAATTGAGCAATCTGCCCATTCGCGCCTCATTGCCCCGGTTACCACTGGGGACATTAAAAATGCCCTCTTTGATATCGGAAATGACAAGGCTCCCGGCCCGGATGGTTACTCTTCTGCCTTTTTCAAAGCAAATTGGGAGACGGTTGGGGAGGACATAGTCCAAGCCGTTAAGGAGTTTTTTCGTTCGGGAAAATTGCTAAAACAGATTAACCATACTGTTATTGCGCTCATCCCTAAAACAAATCATGCTCCTAAGGTTTCGGACTATCGACCCATTTCCTGCACAAATGTCTTATATAAAATCATCACTAAAATAATTGCCACAAGATTGATTCCGTGTCTCCCGGAATTGATTGACCATGCCCAAGGGGCTTTTGTGGATGGCCGCCTCATGTTTGATAACATTTTCCTTGCCCAGGAACTTGTTAGAGGATACACGAGGAAGCGAATCTCACCTAGGTGCATGATCAAGGTGGATTTGCGCAAGGCTTACGATACTATTTCGTGGGACTTTTTGTTTAATGTGCTCAAGGGTCTGGGCTTCCCTTTACAGTTTATTGGATGGATCATGGAATGTGTTTCCACGGCTTCTTTCTCGGTCTCTTTGAACGGCTCACTTTATGGTTTCTTCAAAGGGATGCGGGGAATTAGACAAGGAGACCCCATGTCCCCATTACTATTCGTGATTTGCCTTGAATATTTTTCGCGTTTATTAAAATTGCGGACTTCGGGTCCAAACTTCAATTTCCACCCCCAATGTGCTGCACTTGGAATTACTCATTTGGCCTATGCGGATGATTTAATGCTCTTCTCAAGGGGTGACAAATATTCCATTGAAATACTTGTCAATGCCCTTAAAGACTTTGGGGACGTTTCGGGCCTAAGAGTTAATCATGACAAGTCTAATATTTTCCTTGGGGGTGTTAGGGGGTTTGAATTACAAAATATCTTGGATTTTGTTGACTTTGGGCAAGGTGAGTTTCCGGTTAAGTATCTTGGAATTCCCTTAGCCCCACTCAAAGTATCAGTCGCACAGTATGCACCTTTGATTGATGTTATCACTGATTTTTTGAATGCCTGGAATACCAGAACTATTTCTTACGCTGGAAAACTCGAACTAATACGTTCGGTTATCCAAGGCGTACAATCCTTTTGGTTGCAGGTCTTCCCGGTTCCAAGAGCGATCATTGATCGCATTGTGTCCATTTGTAGAGTCTTCCTTTGGGGTGGAAAGTACTCTAAGGTGGCTTGGGATGATATCTGTCTCCCAAAGGAGGAAGGGGGTCTTGGCGTCCGAAATGCTTCTATTTGGAACATGGCTCTCCTTTCTCGCACTCTGTGGGACGTACACAAAAAGAAGGATACCCTTTGGGTTAGATGGGTTAATGGTGTCTACCTCCGTGGTAGGAGTGTGTGGGATTTTATCCCACACAACCGTGACTCAATTTTTATGAAAAAATTGGGTCAAACCCGCGACCGTATTAGGGACTGTTTTAACAACCGAAATGATACCATTATGGGACTAAATGCTAGATCTCTGAATGGCAAATTAGTCTCGGGAAAGGTTTATGACTTATTGAGAACTAAGGGGAGCAATAGGGCCTGGATGAGTTTCATTTGGAAATCCTACATCCCCCCAAAGTTCTCGTTTAATGTCTGGCTTGCATTTCGGAACCGGTTACCTACTCAGGATAACCTGGAATACTTACATATTATTAATCGATGTGATCTTTGCAAGGGTGGATTGGAAACAATTCCACACCTATTTTTTCTTTGTGGTTTCACTTGCAGGGTTTGGGAGCGAATCAAGGAATGGTTGGGAATGGATCGACGCATGACTACACTTGCCAGCTCGGTCAAGTGGATT